AATTCAAATTTAAAATTTAAATACAAGTAAAATAAAAAAAAAGATAAAATACAAGAGGAGAGAGGCGATACAAAGAGGTGAGATGACGGTGTAAGGAGGTCACACCGTCACAAGCTTTTAATCATTTTGTTTTAACTTTGTTATTGTTGTTATTGTTTTCTTTGTTTTGTTTTAACTATTTAAACAAATCTTTGTTTTTTTTTATATAGTCATATTTATATTATAGATAAATATAAATATAAATAAAAATATAAATATTATTTATAGATAAGACCAGATTACGAGTTAGAACATCAGTTCAACATAATGTACTTGCAAAGCGCCTTATTTGCCGACCAGACACTCGCAACTCGGGCTCTGAAACATATAGTCAATAGTCCTGCAGAAGTCACCGGCCACTCTTTCATTACATTTTTGTTTCCTTCGTTTCAAATTTGGAAATGTAATTTTACACTTAGACAAATTTTATCGTCTGTACCATTGACTTACAATTATATGGACGTCGGGTCCGCGCTAAAAAGTGTCCGAACTTATAGGGTGTTAAAATCGTATACAGAGCGTCATTCACGCTTTAGTCTTCGTTTGTTTCTTCTGACAGCGAAGCAAGCAAAATTAGACAGTACTGCCATGACATTACAATTTAAATTCAACGTTTTAGCTTTCTCATATTCCTTTACATGTCACTACGTTTAAATAGGTTGACTTGTGACATTTTGTCGTGGTTTTTGTATTAGACCCGTCGTCCATTTATTTGTAAGTCAATGGTCTGTACACTGTTTTTGTAATGTGGTCCAAGTGTTGTATCAAAATCTATCTGTTGCCATGTGATGATTACATTCTATTTGTGTACCTATGGTATAATAACGGTAAGTATTTCCTTGGGAGTCTATAGGACAACAATTAAACTTAATCATTTTTATACCCTATTTATTAACTGCGCGAAAGCAAAGTTTTTATTTGATGCTCAAAATTAATTTTGTTATCCCTTCAACTGGAGTTTTAATAAGAAAGTTGTTGCCGCTTCAGTACTGCGCCAATTGAAAAAACCACTTGGTAATATTAACATTATTGGTGTACTGCTCCTACCTTGTACAGGCCTATATTACGTGCATCATACACAACAACTTTTTCCACAACTTTTAATAGTATATCAGATCAACCAGCGGATCTTTCGAATTTTTCTGTGCTTAAGATTTGTTTTTGGTAGAAATCTATGAAAGTTTCACTCATTCATCCAGGCGGGCCTACCATAACATTTCCAAAAACAATCTTATTTCAATGCAAGCTTAAAGTAAGCTTATTATAGTATTACTCATATTCGTACCATGACAAACCTATCAACCAAGTAATGTATTATTGCTAAAGTGACTGAAAGAACGAATGATTTCCCAATATTGTCTATTCCTTACTACAAATAGGAAAGAAATAGCGCTATATAAAGTATATAATTCCATCTCTTTCTTTTTTGATGTTCCGAAACGTCCTATCGTAGCATAATGTTAATGTACTTAATAATTATTTACATTCAGAGAATTGTAACTGCCAATAAAAGAAAAGCATGTAATAATAAAATCTACTAAAATTACGTTGTATTCAATTATTTTTCCGCATTTTCATGAAGAAAAATAAATAAAACAAGCTGAGTCGTGAATGCCACGTTCTGAATTAGGAATTACAGTCTAGTGTCAACTGTTAGTTTCGCCAAGGAGCATATAGATGGCGCTGTTATAATTTTACGAAATAAACATCGCGTAATTTTATTTAACGATAAATTATTTCCTATGTGCTATTAAATAAAAAATAAACAAAATATTGTAAAATATTGAAGAATATATATAAATAAATAAGTTCAACTTAACTTTTAATGATTATAAATCAATATTAAGACAATAAAACTGAAAATATTATTGATTCCACTGCATCCGTGTAACTATTTTAAGATTGCTAAATTTGACATAAGAACATTATTACTTTAATGTCAAAGTCGCGTCATGGTACGAACTGAGTGAATGAATAGTCACAAAGCTGCCAATAAAACATCATAGTTTTAACATTACAATAAGCTTACTTTAAGCGCGTTATGGTACGAAAAGTCAGTCATGTAAGGTTAAAGTAATATTGCTTTAAGAGGTTGTGGTAGGCCCCCAGGAAACACAATGGCATAATGTGGTAGGTATCTGATATGTGGAAGACGCCTTACTTTGACCTTGTACAACAGCTCCGTCTCTTCAAGACGTATTTATTCCCATAATAGATTAAATTATCTGAATCAATACCTGAACGTACAGGCTTACCGCAGTCACCGTCGTCGTCTGTCGATATCTGTAGACACCACCATAGACATGGCGCCTCGCATACGTTACCGGATAAAAAAATTATCTTATGTACATGTAGATCACGTTGATAAAATTAGCGATACGCACGGTATACTTGAACCTTTTGTCCCATGGCTTCCGTTTATTAGGCATTATGATTATTCATGACAGTCGCCTAGATCCATTACTCAATAAAATACGAAGAGGAATGCAATTTTCATCCATTTATTCTATCACAATACTTTCACTGACTACAGTGCAAGTCAGCAACATGTCACACTATAGGTACACTGTGAAATATATTAGTTAATTTGATAAATATTCATTTCACAATCTACTACTACAGATTCGGACCTCATTACAATGTCTTAAAATTGAGCAATTGATAACATCGCAAAGCAAAGATACTCTATGAACTTACAACCTTCTTATAAGATAATAAAATTTACAAAATGCTATGCTGATTACGCCACAAATATTTTTTATTCGTTTTAATGTCGCTTCGAACTAAAACACTTTACAATATTTGTATTATAATCAATGTATTCAAAACTGTGAACATATATACATACTAATGTAAACATATATACAAAATTGTGAATATATATACATACATATGTATATATATATTATTTAGCAGTGAACTATATCTGATTGATGATTCGATTTCGAGTCAACCAGGTACAGGATTTTCTAGCGTGTCTTTTTTTTAGGGCTTGTTTTCTTTTTGCGACAAGCTAGTGCAATCACACGTCGTACAGTGAATATGAAGGCTAATAAAATTGCTACTGCCAAAGCAAGGAAGTCGACATACATTTTCTGGTACCAGAACAACTCTAAGGCTGGTGATCGAAGGTGCACAGCACCTCGTGTGCGCACAACATGTTCCACCCAGTACACCACTTCCCTGTTTAAAGGCACCGGCCGATCGTGATATATCTGCGACAGTTCTTTAATTCTTAACGCGTATCTGAGAAAAAAATTAACATTAAAATATGAAGCCACAGAAAAATCAATTGGAAAGTTTAAAAACCAAACCTTTTATCTATAAGCATTTCCAAAATCGCATGTTTCAATTCTTGAGCTAGATTGTAAGTCATTTCTACAGAGATAGAATATCCGTTAGCAACAGAATTCTTCGCATTTAAAATCTGATCGAACGAAACAGGCACTCCTATCACAGGCACACCAAAATGCATAGCTTCGATGGTCGATAATAGTCCACTATGTGTAATAAATATCAAACAATTAGAATGATCTGTAAAATAACAAACAGATTAGTTAGCAGTTGCGGTTTGATATACATTTGAGGCCAATGAATTCACATCATCTGCAAAAACATTATAAAATTGAAAAGAAAAATAAAAAGAAAAAATTCTCGTTTCGGTCGGTTGGAGAAGTGTTCACTGGGCATTTTATCATTTAAGTATTCTAGTATGTTACCGTGAAGTAATATTTAATATTTTATACTGAAATAAAATAGCAAAAATGATCACGGAAATTAGACAGAAAACACTACTCATTCTAATGGTTTTGACAGAATTTTTGAAGCGCGACGAAAATTAGTTTTTTGTCACATACTTGTATATAATTTTTTTATGCTAGGACTTATATCCGAACTTTTTTTTTCTTAAGAAATTGGCTATACTTTACATTTGTGCATTTTTCACGTCTGATTGTGCTCAATTCACGCGTGTGAATGTAATATTTATATTAAATTACTATAGTGTCAATGTAGATTGAAGTACTTACTTAAAATACTAGATTGAGGTGCCCAATTCAAAATCACTAGATTTTTCGGCAAATTCTTCAAATCTTGGCCTTCATATTTCCATATCACAGTTTGCTTTAATTCGCCAAACATATTGATTAAATTTTTTTTCAGTAATTTCGGCATATCTTTGCTTTGAAAAACTGTACCGAGACTGAAATAAATGACTCCATGCTCTGCGGAATCCATTATTGTCTGCAAATTCTAATAAACACTTTTTTGTTTAATAATTCCGTAACATATTATTATACATTCTGTACCTACGAATTCATGCGAATTACCTGATTTAAGGGCTCTACAGGATTGTCGATGTGCTGACCTCCAACAAATATAAGATTTTGTGGGGTGCTCGGAATCTTTTCAATTGCATTATGCTTGTTGGCAAATATTAGAGATGCATTGTATATTATCTTACTGTAAGAAGGAAGCGTCTTTCCCTTGATTGCTAGCAGTGGTTCAAATAAATATCTTTTTATACAGCGCTTCTTCTTTAGGTCTTATAATAAATCTATAAATTAAACAAGATATTTATAACATACATGGTATCGTACTATTAAAGATACGTTTAAACTCACTCTTTGAGGTAATTTCCCCTAATTTGTGTCCACAACTCCTCAACCCGTTGAGCGAAGGTGAGCGGTGGTAAATTCAGGGACAAGTAATCAACTACATAAGCTGGGTTTGTTGCTTCATCGATTAATTTCACAACTGACCACTGTGTACCCATTGAAAAACTCCAAATCATAGGGCAATCATAAAGAACGGATAATCTGAAATTTAGAGAGAAAACATTATTAAAAGGACTTTCGCCGTATTAGCGCGAGCTAAAGGTGAACGATAATATTTATTATACAGAATGTTACATAAAGAGACAATATATTAGCCGATAGACCGGATCACTATCCGGATTATCGATACCCAATACCTCTGTAAGGCACTCCTTACAGTGGTATTGGGTATCGGCTCTTATAAATCCTGGACATGTATATTTAATTAATTAGTTTTTATTTTGTATTTATATTTGGTTTTTTGATTCATTATAATTTTTATTGTATTTATTATTTTGTGATTGTGTACTAAATTATTACTAACATAGTTTCTAAGCATTTGTTGTAAATGTAACTAACACCATGGACCCATGTAGTCTTAATAAATGAAATTTTGAATTTGAATAATATTTTAGTATATAAATGTGTCCATGACTACCCAAAAACCAGAAAAAGTTAACAATACATATTGTTAATTTCAATCATTAAACATTTATACTTTCACTAAAAAAAATCTGAATATCCGATACATTTAGCTTTTTCAATTCCGGCTGAAATTGCTACGTATGAAAGAGACTTAAGACCGATATATTCTAGGATCCGTTTGCAACGCCTAATAGTATTCGGCTAACAAATGCGTCGTACTCATTCTAAAATTCTCAAAAAGTTCTACTAATTGAGAAGCTACTTCAAGTATGGAATTGTAGTTGTACCACAAATAATTATATCATCCTAAACCAATCAAGTGCTACGCAAGCGTGTCACAACCGCGGCAAATATTTAACAAAAATTGAAAACAGGATTTCACATCACGCACAAATAAATAAAAATAATTATAACAACTTTACTTCCATATAATAATATACTCGAATGTACCTATAATAATTACAAACAAATTGTATAACAAGCTCGCGGTTATTTATACTCTAGCCAAATTCGATGTAGAATGTTTAATAACAAAACGTTGCTAAGCAACCAATGATGGCATAGGAAAAGAACATTTTTTTCAATGCTCATTATTAAGGCTTGCGCTGCCCACGGCCTGCTCCTTAATTGGAATTTAAATAGGTAAGTAGGTAATTGGGTTATGTAGAAGTAATACTTACCTAGCCAATTGTTACAAAGTTTACAAATTGCCTACTGATACATATGATTTAAGAATAAAAATAAGTGTTTGCATCCTATTAATATGTACAGCTAGATAATGGTAGATGAAAAGAAACAAAATTGTAAGATTTTATTTGATATCAATTTACCAGCATCTAGGTATTTCCAATTCTAAACTTGAATTACCACCAGAACTCGAATGTTTGCAATCTCTCCCTTCAAATCAAAAAGTCACTAGGGATGAACAGTTTTACATATAATTAATAACTGGTCATTTTTTAGTTCATTTTAGGTGATTTGAAACTTCTGTTGAAGCTTATTCATTATAAACAACACTTCAAGATTTAGTATTATCCATAATCTAGTTGAATTTCGAGGGAAAATATTGAAATTGTGGTAACTGTGAAACAGTCTAAGATGAAAACCCTAAAAATCATGTGTTTTTGTTTGTTGACATTTATTCTACATCGAATTTGGCTAGAGTATAGAGAGGCAGCCGCCATTACCTCCGTAAGAACATTAGTAAGATGAAAGAAACCTCGCGTTAATTTAAATTCCTACACATCTTCTACTTACCCAGCATAAACATTAGCTTCAATCAGATCCGCTATGACAACATCAAACTTTTCAGTGGGATTCCGTAACAACCTCATAAAATTTATATCTTGAAAAGCAGCGTCTGCCACCTCCAACGACAACTCCATCAAGCCTTTAACATCTGTTATGTATGATGTGTCATGTTTATCCAATATGGAGGTGACATTGAGTATTTCTTCACCTATATAGTAAATACTAATAAGTATATCGTAACAATCACTTATACTCGTAACTCTCAGGTACTTGTTGTTGACTACTTACTAAAAGTGTGTTCAACGCTTTTGCTTACATCAATTTCGCGAAAATTTTCCACGGGTGCATTTTTAAGAGGAAACGCTGTTACATAAGTTATCTGAAAACATTTGTTTTAGTTGGTTTTGTAAAAATAGTTGTTTATGTATAAGTTTTGTACACATTACCTCATGTCCAGCATTGTGCAAATGTTTCACGAAACCTCTGGCCAAGTGGCTCAAACTCCGCCCCGGAAAATTAAAAACAAGTAATATTTTATAAGCATCATTACAAGAAACTATTAGCACAAATAAAGTCGTAAAAAAAAATAGATTCATGTTAGAACGTCCACCAGTGATTCTGCTCACGAGCGTTATGGATGAACTGATGTGTATAATAAGGTTATCGAGTTCAACTCGCTCAATTATTCAATAGCAAACTCTCCCACAGTCGCACCCAAATATAGTTGAGCGCGCTGCGTCATTCTATACTGCACATATAATTGCGTCGCGGACAGATTGCGAAAGTTGTCAATTTATAAATGCCTTCAGCTACTGACTTTTCTACTGAGCATTGAACAAAAAACAAATATTTTTGGTGTAGACAGCAGAGAATGACTGTTACTTAGTTTCCCGGGATGGCAGTTCCATTCGAGAATCGACTTCTTATGTAGGGTCCATATGAAATCCCTCCTATTTACTAAAGTAGTAAACGATGATTTCAAAGTTTAAATGGAATAGACAAGACAAGCATAATATACCGTGCTCATGAGTTGATAAATTGTACTCTGCCAGGATTTGTGTCCGTTGTTATCCCTGTAATCTAATTTATATATTTTCATTGATTTCATTGTAACAGTCAAATCAAAGTCATTTGCGCGGGGAACACCTTTTTATTAATTGGGAATGGGATTTTCTTTTATTAATTGGGAATGAAAGTAGAAGGGATTCCCCGCACTTCATGCACGCACGCTGTTACGGTGAGCCGTTTTTAAGTAAAGGAGTATTTTGTTATTAAGATCGGTGCATGCGCAGTGAGTGAGTGAACTAATCAAATCACACACTACATCCATTATGCGCTCTCCCTCTCTTTCTATCTTGTTCTTAAAACAACTACTCAGTAGTTCTGCCAGAGGGGAGGTTCCCTACAAACTCGGGGGCATTCTTTTGACTCCCGGAGGGAATTTTGAGGAGATGAATTCCTTTGGGGGTTTTCAGGGGAAAAAAATTAAAAATAAAGGACAATGGCAAACTCCTATATAATTTTTTATTGACATAATTTGTATGCGTTTGCTTATGAAAAATATGTGAAAATATACAGTTGAAATTCCTGAACAAATTTTGTTTTGGGTTTACTTTACAACTATTCTGAGAAGTCAGGAATAAAAGATATTCCAGTTTGAAGGTTATGTGTTACGTTATTGAATAAAATATATTCAATGTATTATTATACCAACATAAACTACAGAAACCTTAAACAGAGTTAATAGAAACTGTATGGTGCCGTGGGTTTGAGACGTAACGAAATTTCAGAGGAAATTCTTTCGTATACTGGTATGGTCAAAAGGCATGAAGTTAAGCCATAACAAAAAAAAACTGAGTTATAGTCGTCACCAAATAAGAGGCCAAATTTGACACTTGTCGTAACGCGAATAGAAATGTGGACTAATCATATCGGTAATCACATTATACGATTTTCACGAGAAATCGATTCAAAATTTTAAGAGTTTGTGATTGTTTAGATTATTTTTCGGTTCATTGTTGTTCAGGGGGCCTAATAGGCTAAATTACAATTTAAAAAGCAATTCATTTTCATAAAATTTTCCCACGTTCCGCGATGAATTGTATCTAATTCTTTTAATTTTGATTTTATAATATTCATAAATGGTTTCTTACGAGAATTTAGTGTAAATAAGTATATTCATCAATAAAAAACTACATACTCGTAAGCATTGACTTACAAATAAATGGACGACGGGTCTAATACAAAAACCACGAAAAAAATGTCCCAAGTCAACCTATTCGAAATTTAAATTGTAATGTCATCGCAGTGTCGCGCTGTCAGTAGAACAAATGAAGACTAAAGCGGAGATAGCGCTCTGTATACGATTTAAGCGCCTTACAAGTGCGGACACTTTTTAGCGCGGACCCGACGTCCATGTAATTGTAAGTCAATGCTCGTAAGTCAATATTTTTTCCGAGAAATCGAAGTGAGTCGGTGAAATTCGGCGATTAATTGCTTACAACACTATTATTTAAGAAAAAATAGCTTAAGGACGTAACTGTTTTCAGGACGTTTCGAAGTAACTCAAAATTACATTTTATTTTGGAATTCGTGCGAAAACAGTACTTCAAATATGTTTTGTCATGTTATATAATGTTTCATATATATTTTTATCACAATTATGCTAATAATTGTTTGTTTATTGTTTCGTTGATCGCATTCAAAGTTACATACCGTCGCCTTCTTTAGTTGTCAAATTTGGCCTCTTATTTGGTGACGACTATAATTAATACAATACCACAGACTATTGCACTGGTAACCCGGACACAAATTATTTTTTTGTGAAGCGTGCCATCTATCCCTGATTTTGGGAACTTTTTTGTCAGTATTATCATTTTCTCGCGTGGCATTTTGGAGAAAAAATTGTCGACTTTATTTTTTGTAATTAAGTAGTTAATCTTTTATTAGCTTATTACAAATCGGTCGAATCAGTATATTTGATATTAAGAGAACTAAATGTGGACTATATCCATACGTAAGTACTGAAATTCCTTTATTGGCGGTTACATGTCCCTCGACGTTAAGAAACTGATAGTTATGTATGTCAGTCCGGTTACGTAATAATTAGTCATTAGTTTCAGTAGTCATTTCTTTTAAATATGATTTTATTTCCAGACTTAGATAGGCCGCTATTATAATTTGAAAACCCTAATAAATTTATTTGATTTAAACTTATAATTAAGACCTTTGAAGACGATAACGAATTCTTTTACTGTGGTTTTGTCATTGTTCTTTAGTATATTATATTATATTATATTATATATATTATATTATATTATATTATATTATATTATATTATATTATATTATATTAGGATTATTAATTATGAGACATTAAGACTAATAATTGTATGTTAATATTTTTAAGTGTTATGATTTACATGAATGCAACAATGTTGATTTTGTTAATACAATTATGGGAGTTGGTTATTATCGTATTTAGGTAAACATTCAAATGCTTTGTTATAGTAATGACACCTTTTCATTTTTTATTTGTTTTGCTATTTTTTTGTTGATAAACAACAGAAAATTCTTTATTTTTATTTTTATGTTATTTTATGAAGACATTATAACATTTTTGATTCTTTTGTTTTGTTTTATGTATAAGAAATAAATAAAGATCCGTAATAAATAAAAAAAAAATATATTCTGTTTATCCGGATCCATGAATTGGACGGATAATGCAAACCCTATTTTCGTGATATAAGTGATCGTGAAATCTGTCTTTTGCAAGTTCGTTGCGTTGCTGTCTATGAGAACTTTTGAAGGTTATAAGTGTGATGTGCTGTGGTAATGGAGATGAAAGTAACTGGACCTGTTTTCTTAGAGCTCATATTTTGAACTTGTTTCTATTCTATCTTGGTCTTATTTACCTGTGGCACTCTTCTGTCTTATTTACATTACAATAAAGTATATTTGGCCAAAGTATGGCATATACCAGAAGATTTAAAAGGAACTTTGTTATTAATGATAAATTATAATAATAATTATAATGCAGCTGCAAAAATGTACTTATTAATTTACACCCTCCATGTGCAATAAAGCTCCTGTATGTCCGAAATTATATAATAGAATATGTTGGTTCGGCGGCAAAAAGCGTCCAAGAAGTAAAAGTAGCCTAATTTAACATAAACAAACATGACCTTTTTATTAATCCTGTCAAGAGGAAAACTATTATTAAACTTGTGCTTCAATGGTCTCAACCTCATTGTTTTCTAAATGACCTTCGTCAGTCGTCGCGTCTCGGAACCTATTATTATTTTGAAATTTCACAAATTTGCACAAAAACGTTATTTGGCAAATTCATGACTGCAAAAGGTCCGATAGCAAACCTTTGTTCTTTACGGTTTCAATTTTATTTAAGAGACGTGAATAAGATACCAGACCGACCTGTTTGCAAACGGGTGGCATTCGACAATCGACCAGTAACGTTTAGGAAATAACCATTTTTGTTTGAAGCAGCCGCGTATTATTATATAATACTTACGATTATACTTAAAACAAAGTTAATGAAAAGAATTCAATCTAACCATGATCATTCATTAGCCATGTTTTCTTCTTCAGTATCAGAATCCTTCTCAACTTGCTCTACATAGGCTCCAAAACCTAAGACCTATATGATAGGTTTGTTATCTGGTGAGTCTGCAAGATAATTCTTCATACTTACTTGTGTTGTAAGAGTATTAGCTTCTCCAGCGGCCTTAAGGTATACAGCTCTGTCCACTAAGACTTTAATACCACAAGTGTATTCTGTACCAGCACAATTCTTTAATGTTTCCTGCTCTTCTAATATTGCAATTTCTCTATCGATTATTGCCAGGATTCGAAGACCCTTCCTGTTAAACTCAGGTAGTTGATTGCTTGGATAGAGGAGCTTGCAATTGCAATAGGGAGCGTCTTCACCTAATGTTTGATACTTGTCTACTGCTGCAATGATGTGTACCGAATATTTGGTCAGCTCAGCCCAACAGAGTAATATCGGGTTCTCTTTAACGATATATTTATTTGTTAAATTGAATGTGCCAAATTCGGCACCATACATTTATTCCATATAAAATTAAATTTAGTATCCATCTGTTTCGTTCCGTTGTGGTGTAATTGATTGAGCGTGACTTTTTGTGCGCTCTGGCGATCATTATAGAGTACCTACTAATACGTATTAGTAGGCTAATGCGTATAACGTTATCAGCATTAGCCGTAATCTCAATACTAACGTCCGAAGAATCGTTGTTTCCTTGGCAGAGCTAGTCAAGGTCAAATATTCTAGGAGATAGAGTTATCGTTAGTGAAATAATTATCTGTGTACAGTTACGTGCTTGTATGTATGATCATCTAACTTGAATACAATTCGCCCGATCAGCGTCCATGTTTCCACAGAAATAGCCGCCAGTTTTTCTGTACACAATTTTTCTGCCAATTTTTTTCGTAAAGACTATCTTAAGGTCAGAAGAAGACGGCACCTCTAGTCTGCTCCGGCTGAATGTGGGGTGCGGTCCCACTTGATGGTCCGGTATCTCTTGTCTCTTTCTCTCTACATTAGTCAACCTTTGCCTGTCTTCCGC